TTCCCTACTCGACCTTGTGGCCTCTTATATGGAGTAACCACAGCCCGCAGGTGGGGCACAATCACCTAGTTTGACATCTGCCAAAACATAACCTCGCTAACCAATTGCCTGAAGAGAACATGTGTTTGAGTAGATGAGAGAGCAGGGCTTGCTGTCGCAAAACCCAGTGAACTAATCGACTCCGTGTTCTTCTAAATAACTGGGTGAAAGTTATTGCAAGACTGGCTGAGAGAGAGGTTAAGGAAATGGCTTATCGTGAATTAGTTAGCTGTTATTTGTTAAGCGAGTGTCTCTGCCATCTTATCAAAACACCACCCCATATTGGTGTCTGATGAAGAGGGAGCCAGCAGTGCTGTAAATGCTTCTTTCTTCTCTACTGACAAAGTAGAAAGATAAGAGTTGATTTTTTAGGTTAGTCTCCTACTGTGTCCATAGGCGCCAAAAGGAATGTCCTGTGGCAAGTGAAAAAAACTGGGATTTCATACTGAGAGAGCTGTCAGATATGACTGGCCGAAATTTATGAGTAGCCGTTTTGGCTACAGCATTCGGGAGAAACAGTTTCATGGAAAAGTGGCTAAGGAAACTGACAGCCCAGATTGCTTTACCAAAAATTAACATTCTTCAACGTGCTAAACGGAATAAAACTGCTTGTAGTGCAAAATTAACAGATAAAACTATGCTAGTTATTTCTAAATCAGTTCCAAGTTTAACATGTTGCTTTATTTACCCGATTAATGACAAAACTACAATTCCATCATTGATCTTCGGCGCCAAAAATCGTAGCAAAGTTCTCGTAGGTGTCTTTGTATACGTAAACAATCAGAAACGAGACCCACCGGCTAAGTTATTTAAACATTTCAAGCCGCAGGGCGTGAATGATCCGTGGACGGAAATACTTTTTACGACAATAACTTTTCAAAGGTCATTATGAAGGTTTAGGTTGTACATTTTGGGCAAAAATTTATAACAAGGGATGATGTTCTTAATATGTATAACCTATTGTACGAGGATGCCCTTGAGCCGCAGCGTTGCAATCCATTAAAGCTCTATTGTTTTGGATAGCGTCTGCCTGTTGAATCCTCATGACTAGGGTTGATAATTGAAAAAATCGTTCTTGTGTTGTTGCGGCATCCTTAATAAAGTTCCCTTATTCTCTGTGTAGGACACCGCATTTGCAGGCTTAGGAACTACTAGGGACTGTTATCTATCCTGTATGTTCCACTTAACGAGGAAGTAGCTCATTTTTTTAACAAACAGACAACAAAGTCCGAACTCAGTTGTTGAAATATAACAGAACAATTAACTGCAAAGTTCGAAAAAGATGACGCAACCTATATTTTTGTGGATAATTTTCGAATCATGCCTGTTGTTGATGAAAATGAAAGCAAAATTCCACTGGGAACGGTGTATTTTTATCCATTGTCGTGTAACTTTTTAAATACTCTTGGCTTCTCTCTTCACGATCAAATGAAACTTATAAAAAAGCATAAAGGATATAAGCGCTTTGCTACTTTTTCCTCGAATAGGACTTTGAAGCATGTTGTCTGGTAGTTTCCGAGAAACATACCTCAAAATTGTAGTGGTATTGGTCAAAGTCCGGCACGTTGTCATTGACATCGTCAACAAAAATATTCACTGTAGCCGAACTGGAACGTCGTTCGGGGAGCCCATCGTCAGTGGCAACCACAAGGAAGGAGTATCGGTCGACGGACTCGCAGTCCAGCTCCGCCGTCGTGCGAATCCTTCCAGATCTGGAATCGATGTGAAAGAGGCTGGTGTGAAAACTCAGTCTGTTTGTCTCCCCAGTTCCACTTTCCCTATCGCCGTCAGTCGCGTTGGGACTCAGTGAAGATTTTGGTAGCTCCCGAATGTTGTAGCTGATGAGGGCATTTCTTCCAACGTCCGCGTCCGTGGTGTGAATCGGTGGAACCAGACGGATTTCTGAGTTTGCACTGTTCTCTCGCACATGTCCCGTGTACTCGGATACCTCGAAGGTGGGCGTCTCATCGTTAATGTCACTAATGCTAACATGAAGGCTGGCGTTTTTCGACAGAGCGTTGGTCGCTTCATTATCCGAACGCATTATTGTCAGCTAAAATGTGAAAAGCAGGAGTAGGCTGCGAAACATCAGTAAAACACTCAAACAATCAATTATTATTTTAGGCTAACTCATCTTCCTAAAACTATGACTCCGGATGGTTGTTTAAACATCATTATTAGTGCATTTGACCAACAGGCGTCACAACTAGTGAATTATTTTCCCCAAATCTCGTTCATCCATAGTCACACATATACATACAACGATAAACACACAAAACGTTGGGATAGTCATCATTAACTTATCGGCCGTTGCCTGTTAGCCTTATCCAACTTCACATTTGCGGGTTCTGTGATTCGAATTGGAGTTATCATTAGACCTCCAAAACAAATGTGTGAGCACTTCCCGTAAGCTGATCAATGAGGACCCTTCTATGATATTTATGTGAGTTTTAAATGATCACGTTACCTGTAAGGAAAACAATATGTAAGAACACCAACCATGGTTAAACAACGAGACAATGTGTATATACAAGGGCGAGTACGAATTCCTAAAGAAGCGTTAAGAGGATGATATCACTGTGGCCATATTTTATTCAATTTATGTATATGATTCAAGTTATAACACTGCATTAGGGGCAGCAATAAATCGACAGTTGTATCAGCCTTGCGGACGATGTCGTCAGTGTGCTCTGCATCAAGCTGGACGCAGGGACGGTGGCTTGCGTGTGAATGCTTTTATAGTGATAGTTAACTTGCGTTACATCTACCACAATATCTTCCCTTCACCCACTTGAATCCGCTATCATGACCACGTTAAGGATATGGGAATTGAAGGGCGTCAGGTGGCTTGCTTGGCGCGAGCCTGCGTCTAGGGGTGCCACTCCTGCCCCATGCAAGACAATGTAATACCAATTATACACCACTTGAATTGGTTTCACAGTCATGTAAAAACAACTTTCATTTCTCTCCCACACACCTTCACACACTCTCAGGCCCAGCTGGACGCAATTAACATTAGCCCTGGGTTCGTCAGTGCTGTCTAAGATAGCAACTTCGGATTCCGTGCAGAATAATCCCTTCCCACTGGTGCCTTCTGCATTTTACTAATATCCTAGCATTCTATCTGCTGACTGTAGCGATCCGAGTACAACCATTACTTAGACGCTACAGGTTATCAATCCACATCAAGCTTGCGCATCAGGCTCCAGATTTGTCTATTCGAGCTTGTATTCACATAAATGAGCTTTCAGTAAATCAGTACAGCACCATTCCTTCTAGCATTACCACCCACTCTCTCTCCCTTCCTGTTAATGCATCCACTCTTTGATTATAAGAGTGCTTACTTGGTCATTATCGAGTGTATGTCAACTGCCAATAGAGGAGAATATCCGAGTTCCAGGAAGCAGTTCAGACGAAGAAGAAGCGATCACTGGAACAAGAGTTTTATTGTCCTGAC